GCGCTCTCTCTTGCATATGTGAACTTGCAGAAAGCTTTGGGGTTCCTGAGCCATTGAATTAAGATTTCTTTTTGGATCTACTGACAACCTTTTAGATTTCCCCTGACAGGCTTTAAAGCATTTTCAAGACCTAGAAACTGGCTCACAGTGGGACATAAATTCCTCAGTTCACATGCTAAGCATCCGCCAACTCTGTATTCATATTTTTCTGCACAGTTTTCCTTAATTTTCTACTGACTGACTGATCATCATTGTTGCTGTTTCCACCCTCCACATGGTAGAGTGCCCCACGTGCTCAGGGAATGTTGTGGGGCAACTGATACAAAGACTTCTATTGTATGAAGTTGGGAAAATTAGCATCTCTTGCTAGACAGTTCACTGCTGAGAGGTTTATAAGATAGCAAAGGCTTGAAACATCTAGTCAGGAGAAAAAATAAACAGGAGATTCATGACTGAAACTATTTCCAAAAAGATGTTACTTGTATTTGTTGTACGCTTAAGGACTGAACTATGTCTGAAACAGTAAGACCAAAGTAGTAATTGGCATCTGGCTACTTAAAAAAAAACAAAACACATAAGCAAAGACAAATGCAGCTTCTATCTGGGTGGAGAGGGAAGATATATACTGAAATTGCACTGCATGAGAAGGTCATGGCTCCACAGATGTGTCCATGCTGTACTGCATCATACCAACGAGGAGCTACAGCCCCTTTACTGCCCCAACATCTGTAGATTTGCACATTACTAGGCACAGGAGTTCCATGGGATTTAAGCATAGGTATAGCACGGAGGATGTTGCGGGTCTTAGGGATTTAGAACTCAGAAATGCACGTGATCACACACACTTCCCAGCTACGGCGATTCTTGTGTAGTTAGTGACTGTGCTTTGGTAGGCTGCTATTGCTGTCTGCAAAACAGGGCGACGCAAGTTCCTGGCCCCACCCACTTAATGAAAATCAAGTGAAACTTTTCCTCCCTGTGTTGAAATCTCTGCATGGAGAAACCTTTCCAGGCCAGGAGCGGGTGGAGCCCCAGGTGTGCTGCTCGCAGCAGGTAGGCAGAGAATTCTTCTACCATTTGCTGTTCTCCCTTACCACACAAGCATAAAAGCAGCCCAGATTAAGCTATTGCATTGATCTTGCTCATTCTTTCTTACACATGTTGAGTAGGTTACGTATGACTTTAAAAAATAAGAAAAGAGAGAGGAATAAAGAAATGGCAATTCACGGCTTTTGTACCTGTGCAAACATACTAAAGCAAGACAATCTATAGCAATGCTTTCCAAATAGCCATAAATTATAACCATAAGCAACCTCCCTCTGTGACACATTTACTATTTTTATCATCATACACAGTGTCAAATTACATCTCTTAATAACCCTTTCAGCCAGCTGAACTACAACTACAATTTAAGACTTTATGTGAAACTAAATATATTCTTGTGACTGTGGCCAAGAATGTGGCACTCCATTGCTCCCTAGATGCTAATTTTATATTTTTTAAGTTATTGAACAGATTAAATATAGTGAAAGAAGTGGATCTGCTTAATGCCTGTATGATTGTTTGAAGAAAATATATTCTTAATGGGGTATATTGATTCTGTGATCATTTTTATTAGAATTAGTTTTAAAAACAATGTATTTAGCATGAATATCTGTATCTTATATGCATTCTGGACTGGGGAGAGCAAGAGTTAATACATGCACTGAGTGAAGTGACAATATTCAAAACATAGGAGGTCATAAAAACCTGGCTGTCTAAGAGCAGGAAGAACACAGAAGAGCAGGAAGAACACTGAAGTATTCCTGCTGTGACAAAGCAAGATCTTATGCAGCTGTCTTGTGTTCACTGTACACCTACAAGCAGATTTATCTGTAGACTGGCATGGCTGAACAGGGAGCTTGGTGGAGCTCTAATGCAAAAAGGCATAGAGTATAGAGGAGTATAGAGGAGATGGGAGCAGGGACAGGCTGCACTGGAAGAATTTAGAAATATTGCTTGAGTATGTAGAGGTAGCCTCAGGAAATCCAAAACTTAAATGCAGTTGAGACTTGCATGGGAAGCACAACAATCATTGAGAGCAGCCCTGCCATTCTTGGGGGACTTGGAGGTACTTGTGGATGAAAACCTGAACATGAGCTGACAATTGTCCTGGCAGCCCAGAAAGCCAACTGTAACCTGGGCTGCATCAAAAGAAGCGTAGCCAGTGGGTCAAGGGAGGTGATTCTGCTCCTCTACTCCGCTCTGGTGAGACCCCACTTGGAGTACTGTATGCAGCTCTGGAGTCCTCAGCACAGGAAAGACATGGTCCTCTTGGAGGGGGTCCAGAGGAGGGCCACAAAAATGATCAGAGGGATGGAGCACCTCTGCTATGCGGACAGGCTGAGAGTTGGGGGTGTTCAGCCTGGAGAAGAAAAGACTCTGGGGTGACCTTATTGCAGCTTTTCAGTACTTAATGGGGGCTTATAAGAAAGATGAAGATATTTTTGCAGTGCCTGTAGTGATAGGACAAGGGGTAATGGCTTTAAACTAAAAGATGGTAGATTCAGAGTAGATATAAGAAGGAAATTTTTTTACCATGAGGGTGGTGAAACACTGGAGCAGGTTGCCCAGAGAGGTGGTAGATGCAATCTAAGGCAATCTAAGGAACTATAAGCTTATCAGCATCACTTTGGTTCTCATGGAACTTAATGGAGTGAGTCCTCTTGGAGCACATTTCTGGGCATATGAAAGAGAAGAAGGTGATTGGTAACAATCAGCATGAATCTACCAAGGGTAAATCATGCTTGACCAGCCTGATTGTGTTCTATGATAAAATGACTGGGTTTGTGGATGAGGGAAGAGCAATGGATGTCATTTGCCTCAGCTTTAGCAAGGATTTTGACTGTCTCCAACAACTTTCTTGCCACCTGCATTAGGATTTTATAGTTGGGATGGATAAAAATTGGTTGGATGGTTGGGCTTAGAGGAGGGTGGTTAATGATCTGTTCTCTACCCAGTGGACAAGCAGTGTGCTGCAGGGGTCTGTATACTGGGACTGTCCGGTTTAACACCTTTACCAATCACCTGAAGGAGGTGATGAAGTCCGCTTTCATCAGGTTTGCAGATGGCACCAAATTGGGGGGAACAGGGAGTCCGCTGGTGGGCAGGGCTGCCGTTCAGAAAGACCTAGGGAGGCTGGAGGAATGGACCAACAGGAACCTTATGAAATTCAGCAAGGACACACACAAAGTTTCCTTTGGGAATGCTGAGCCCTTGCACCAGTACAGTCTGGGGCTGACTGATTTTACTAAGAAGACTCTGTCCTGGCAGACAGCACACTGTCTGTGCATCAGGAGTGTGCCCTGGCAGCGAAGGTGGCTAACAGCATCCTGGGCTATGCCAGAGGAAGCACAGCCAGGAGCTTGAGGGAAAGGATTATCCTCCTGCTCAGCACATGCTAGACATCTAGACACTGTGTCCTTTTGAGCCCCCCAGTACAGGAAAGACATTGAAAAATTGGAGCGAAGTTCAGCCGAGGGCCTGCAAGATGGTTGGAGCCAGAGCCATGTGAGGAGGAGCTAAGGGAATCCGATTTGTTCAGCCTGGAAAAGTGGTGACTTCAGGTGGACCTCATAGCAGTCTTCCAGGACCTATGAGGGGGTCTTCAAGAATACAAAGCCAGTCTCTTCACAGTGGTAATAGATGGGTGGACAAGAAACAGCAGGCATAAATTGAAACAAGCAGGGTTCAGACTGGAAATGCTGAAAAGAAAAACAGGGGAAAGACATAATATTGGGATTGGGTAAAATGGTTAGGTGCCAAGCTGTAACAGACCATAAATCCTGAATAGTCAGACACCGTTTCCTGTGCTCCTGGCTCCATCCATTTCATGTAGAAACCAAAGGTACTTTACCCACCACAGTGAATTTTCATTGGCTAGCAGTGAAACCTGTGATACAGCCCCAATTCTTAATTATATCATGAATATTTTTCACTGCAAAACACAGCTATAGTATTTGAGTTAGTGCAGGCTCAAGCTTGTGTCTGCATGGCATGGTGCAGAGTTGTATGGACCTACCTGCCAGGTTTCCTGTGCGGGATAGCCTCTTTTATTTGGCTTGGCCTCTGAGGTAGGCTTCTTGGCAGAATTTATTAACCAGGACCCAGTGCTTCAGGAAGGGGTTGCATGAACACCTGATCTCACTTATGCCTGGCCAGGTCAAACATCTGTGCTGTGCTCCTCTCCTGCCCCTCTTCTGTAGTTAGCAAAGGAACAGCCACCCCAGGTCTGCTTGTTCCAACTGGCATAGCCTTGCCCAAAGTTACATAGTGGGTAAAAGGATTGGTTTTGTTTATTTTTTCTGTTTAAGAAAGGTTGAAGCTGGTGTGGTAGGAGAGGCAGAGGATGGAGGAAACGGGCCATTCCCGTCTTTCCGCTGCAGAAACCCAATACAGGTTACTCACTCACTTCCCTCAGCCACGCATCCAGAGACTGTGACACTCATTCCTTCCTAAAAGAGACCAGAGTTTCAACTTAGACATGTATTCCCTGATTTTGTACGTGAAAGAAAGTGCCTGGTCCATTCTCAAGCAGAGCTTGGTCCTGCAGCAGAGTATTGCTGCTCTTTCGCTTTATTCCAGCTCTGAGTTTCCTCCTAAAGAAAAATGACCTGTTCATGATGATTGTAGCATTAGGGACACCTCTGGATTTTGTCAGCCAGTGGTCTTGGTATGGCCTGAGGGTTCCAGAACTTGGACCCCCAGTCTGGAAAGCATATGTTGGTGACTTTTTGGGTCAGAAGTAAAGATAAGGGATGGAGAAGGTATCAGTGTGATTGTGCCTACCCACAGGGATGTTGTTATGCCACTTCTGTAGGACTAGTAAGAGCTAACCTGGTGTGAGTGAGGCTAGCAGCCCTGGGCTTGAACTTCTAAAAGGCATTGCTTTTCCTCAAGAAACTTTGCCTTGAATTAGTCCAATTTTTTATCATTACCCATTAATGATTCTAAAACCAAAGTGTTTAACTGAATGAGTTTATTACTATAGATCCTAAAAAAGTGTAATTCTGCTTAATTTTTGGGCAATATCATTTCCCAGGAAGGGAACAATTCAGGAGGAGTTATGTTGTGCTGAGTGAACCTGTTTGCCCAAATACTCTCATAGCGTAGTAGGGGAGTAATGAAAAGAAATGTGGTCCCACCCCTTCATTCACTGGTCTGAATAGTTCCCTGGAGGGTGTGTAGCAACATAAGTAATTTACTGCTGGTAGCAACAATTGGTTTTCTGGAGGAACAAGTAGCAAAGAAACTGGATTACAAGAATGGTTCTGAGTCATGGAGTCTCCTGGGATGCTGCTGCGTTGGTCATTGCTCAGAGATGAGCTTGGAGTCAAACTAACAATGAGCTAAATGGTTTGGAGGATTTTCCTGTTGAGGGTGAGGTTGAGGCAGTATGGCTGTTGGCTAGTTGCCATTGCAGTGCTTTGCACAGCAGTAGAAAGGAGAGGTGGACCTGACCCTCTGCATCTCCAGCCCTTCACATACCCAGAGGAAGACTATGTGCAACTGGTGTTCAAAGTGACCTGCAGGGTACGTTGCTGCACTGTGCCTAGTGTCTAGCATTCTCCTTAACCTCCAGATATCATTCCTTCATTTTTAGTATCAAGTGGAAAATAAAATCTATAGACCTTCATTGCAGGAACCCTAGGGTTTTTCCTGACATCTCCTGCTGTGAGGAAGGGTGAACCATGACTAAGAACAGGCTTACTTCTGAAGGCAAAATAGTTGCTGTGTCTTAATAAAAGAGCTCCTTCAGTATTATCAAAGATAGGAAAATGTGATCCATGATGGGCATACTGACACGGAGATCTGAGTAGCTGGGCAGTGACAGTGAAGCCTTCATGCTTAACTGCTCATCATTTGTGGAGAGTCCTGCTGATGTGCGTGACTAAGTTGCTCAACCACACCTGAATCTGGGTTCTTGGGGGATAAAGCCTATTCTGTAGCTTCTTCCTGTGTCACAAAGGTGCAGGTGATTTTAGCATTAGACATCAGACTTCATTGGCTACTGAGTTAGGGAGTTAACGCGTTCCTAGAATCACTTCTTAAATGAGCAATGCACGTTATTGCAACTGAGGCTACATGTGCCTGTACAGCCTACAGCAATGGTGTTGCTTCCCTTGCACTCTTCTCTTTGTGCTAGAGTTTTCTACATTTTCCACAGATTTTTTGGGACATCAGAGGCTGGAACTGCTCCATCTATTCTCAGGTTGCCTAAAATTTGGGCAGACATGCATGCAGAAGTGCCATTGCTAAATTAATTCCTCACACCCCAGACCAGCCTGATGGACCATGGAGGGGGAGCAGAGGTGACTCCTTCCCTGTACAACAGGCAGTGTAATTGCACAGCCAAATGAAGAGGGTATGACACCTTCTAAGTTTGAAGTTGTCCCTGCTTTGTACAGAAGATTCCACCAGATGACTTCCAGTGATCCCTTCCAACTTAAAGTATTCTATCATTCAAATCAAAGAAGGGTCTTTTCAAGAGAAACTAAAATTTTTTTCTTCCAGCTCTGAATTCACCAGGGAAATTTCTGGGACTTCCTTTACAGGTCAAAGAGGAGTAAACATCATACTCTTTCCGTCTGTGAACTTTGTGAAGCACATCAGTAAGTAATACACCAGTGAGTTTACTATTTCTGGCATTAGTGAAATCACATTCACCTCTGTGTGCTCTGAATTTGCCCCTAAATTACACATAGACATGCCCACCCAAAATTACACACAAAAATGAAATAAAAATTCACAACTGGCTGGGTGCTCCCTGCAGACCTGTGCTGGCTTTATGGTCACTGCCACCTTAACAGTAATTACTCTTGCTGTCGGTGAGGTGAAGGCTGGAGTGAGCTCTGTGCTTGGTTGTCTGCTCGCTCTACAGTGGATGAATGAGGAGGGGTTGTTGTATGTACAGCAGGTGCCAGGCATGTTCTGTGGCACTTATTTCCTCTTCTTGAGGAATTCACAGACAAAGTAGATGGTGACTTGGCACTCAGAGTCATTCCACTCTCCCGTGCTGAGCATTTCCACACAGTCCTCGCGGCCAGCTGGGTCATGAGGCTCTCCTTCCTTCCAGTTGCTGTAGTTCTGCAGTGGGCTGCTGTCTGCGTACACAAACTGTCCTTCTTTTTCCATGTCGTTTAGCCCAATGAAGGCTCGGAAGAGGCCACTGTTGGAGATGTAGTCAGCAATCAGGGCATTGGTTGCCTCATCTTTAGGCATGGCCAGTGTTCCTCCCCTGTCCCTGCAGTGGATCAAGGCTTCTCTGTAATTCTTCTCTTCTTTCACGATGTAGTAGAATTTCTCGTCTGTCTCCCTGATACCTGCTATAACTTTAAAGGGGGGGAAAAAAAATTGCTTAATGACATATCAACAGTATGACAATGAGATGATTTTTACATTAGAATTAATAAAAGGGAGAGAGGAAAAGTATTTCCATCACTGAGTTTGTGATGAATGATGAGAACATGATCAGAGACTGATGCTACTAACGGGACTGACAAGCACCTTGCACACATTAGGACAAGAACTATTCAGTCCTGATTGGCGTGTGTCTCCTGTGACACCTAAGTTTTACTTCACGGATATCTAGTAGTAATCAAATTAAGGCATGCTAAATGGACAAATAGCAATGTCTGATTCTGAATTGCTCCTGTTGCTTTCGATGTTTTTGAATACAGATTGTGAAAGAATGCCCTGAGATAGAAACACAGGGGTATAAATAGCTTTTCAGGTCCCTTCCATGTAGAGAAAAATCAATGTGATTACTAAAACAAGACATTTTAAATACAGCCTGGTATTCAGAGCTGCTGTAGCTGCTATGTGGCATTGACTAGGAACAAGACTGTGGCTGCTCAGCAGCTTTAAAAGACAAACTTCTCAACCAGAGTATATCCTAGAGAATTAATCAGTGCCAAGGCGCGTGCCTGGGCAGCTGGAAGCTGATTGTCCCTGCTGATGGATTGCTGGAATAGTCCTGAGCAGAGCTTTGGCCTGGGGCAACTAACATTCTCCCAAACAATTCAGGAGTTACCCCAGGCACAGTTTAGGAGTTAGTAGAGGGACACTCCTGATAATGTGGCATTCAGTTTTGTAGGATTTCATATTACAGATGAGGGCTGTTCTGTGCTGGTTGTCCACAGTCCCAGAGGAGAGTCTCAAACACGTTTCTTTCACTGATACAGACTTAGTCTAGTCCTAGTGGTGGAGCCTTCTGAAAATAATGCTTCCTTGCAGTGAGGGCAGTTTGCACAGTCCACCTGCCAGTGCCATCTGTGAACCTGGCTCCCTGGCGTCTTATAACCCATGTGTTGGTCCCTTGTTACCAGACAATGGTGCTCACACTGAGGGGAGCACTAGGAGTGCCATGTCTGAAGCCTTCCTGTGCAGCAAAAGGATCAAGGGGTTCCTCTTGCTTTTTGCCCTCTTTCTGGAGCAGATTGGCACAAACATTTTCCTTTCATTGCCTGAGTGGGTGCTGAGCAGCCGACTGACTGTGCAGAGCTGGTTAGCAAGCTGTGCCTTGTGCTTTTGATGATTCTTTATGTTGTATTGTTGATCATCTCTGTATTATTTTTGCTTTTATTTATCTGCTGTTTATATCCTTACAGGTGTAAGACTTTTCTGTGTGTGACCCTCTCTCTGCGTCATCTATGGATGCTGCCATAGAGGAGCAATGGTAGAAGAATAGCAATGATAAATGTTATAGGAGCCAGATAGATCACCTCATGCATAATGATTCTTACCGTTCTTTAGAAACTTGATAGATGTGTTAAGTCGAGCAACATTGATAGTCATTTGTCCAACAACTCTGCGGTATCTTCCACAGTCACAGACCGTGCCTGATGCAATGCAAAGGACAGAGGATTTATCTGTTTAGAAGCATTTGTGTGTGTGTGTGTGTCTGTAGGGTCAGTTATAGCCCATTTCCAAACCTTCTGAAGAGTTGGCCTCCACTTGTGGAGAGCCAGTCTCATTCTGCCCTGCCGGTTATATTTCTGTTGACCAAAGCAGTTAATATTTCGGCTCTGTTCACTCCCTTGATAACTGGCTTAAAGTTCCCTACCTTAAAAAATATGAATGGAAGAGTTTGCCATCTTCCTTCCACCCATATCAGTGTAGGATTTGCCCATCCTCTGCCCCTCTCATCATCGATTCCATCTAGCTGCGGAGATGTGGCTTGTCATGGTGTTGCCTACAGTGTTACAACTAAATGCCAAAGGTCTGCCTTTGTATCTGTAAACAGCACTGGTTCCCTGGCCTTTTAACAGGAACAAGAGCCTCCAGGAAATGAAAAACAGCTCTTTTCTCAGTGAAGGTGTTTTGTGAGTATGCAGAGAGATGGGACTGGCAAAACTTTGGTAGAAGGACCATATTAGTGAACTGCTGCATGCAGCTGTGGTACAGCAGAAGTTGATAACAACTCAAATAATCAATAGATTTCAAGCACCGAAGTGTCAGTTTTGTTGGTAAACTGAAATTTGGCTCGGTGGTTTTGTTGTTCCTCTGTTAGGAAACAAATTTGTTGCTGATGGTTTCCCATTAAGAACTAAACTGGCATTGCATATGAAATCTCTTAAAAATGAACACAACTGTACATTCAAGGTGGGAAAGCATTCAAGGTTATTAGGACTGAGAAGAACTTTCTGGGTCATCAGATTCAATTCTCCTTCTGTAAGCAAATACATTGCATGCATTTGACAACAAATTATGCTCTGTCTACAGTCACTTATTTTTTGTCCCCTTGCTCTTATTAGGAAACTGTTAGACGACTTCATTGCTTTGGTATTGAGAAACTCTTCTACTTTTCAATGTAAATGTACTGCTGTCCCGTCTATGTGTTACTTTTTATGACATCAAACATTGCCCATTAATTTGGGTAACTGTTGTCCATATTTGTGTATGTTGGTATTTTCATAGGCATCAGTCCTGTCCCTACCCAAGCCTTCATTTTCCTAAACAAAACTTTTTCGGTCTCTTCATGTTTGTTTTGTCTATTCTCAAATTTGTCCATGGACTTCAAAATGTTATCAAACTCCAGACAAACCAACCCTGAAATCGAAGACCCGGGAGACTTGACCATTCTGCAGAGAAGGATGCATAGCATACCTGCTTTTCCCTTTTTTCCAGAAACTCCTGATAAGCCTTTGGCTCCTTTATCACCTGAATAAAGAGGAAAATATAAGATCAGATCTCAGACAGTGCACATGTCAGGGGAGCATATTTGAAAAACCTGTTTAATAATATATTAACGGTATGCTTCTGATGTATTGTACTGGCAGATGTGCCAAGTCAAACAAAGTGTGATTAATTCCAGTGTATGAAAATAAGGAGAACCCTTTAATAACTAACCCACTGATAACACAGGCATCTGTTGCGCTGCTGGTTCCTGGTACCACTTGCTTTAAATATAAATTGCACAATGATCCTGAGAGGCTGAAAGCACTCAAGAAATCTGTGGGATGTAACACCTGGGTTTTTTCATTGCCTTGCAGGACAGAGCCCTTCCCTGGGTTCAGGAGCCCCGTGATGGGACGAGGCACCAGATGAGGCTGATGTGCACTAAGGCACTGAATTCACGTGTGCAAGAGGTTCCGTGTGCGGGCAGCAGTTGGCACCTGCACGAAACGAGGTCAGTAAGGAGCAGCGTTTCATTTCACAGACAGTTTATGGAAATGTGACTTATTGTCATCCAACTGCTTTCCCCTTCTTCTATAAATCATAAAAAAATATAGAAATACTTTTCCAAATGTTGTGCTACTATGTAAGTGGAGATGACCAGCTTTTTAAAAAATCTCAGCTGTAATTTGGATCAGATCAGGAGCAGCTGGACTTCATCTGAAATTCATGTCAGCTCTTTCTTTATGAATTAAAGCCTTCAAAGGTCAAAAACTGCTAATGCTTGCTTTGCCTTTCTTTGATGGCCGTGTTTTGATATGCTTTTTCCTTTATATGGCTGTGGGTTTTAAAAAGAAAATAGGAATTGGCTGTCATTTTAGTTTGCTCTGTTTGACACTGCACACTTATAAGCTGAAATTTCAGCGTTGCTTCATTAAGAACTTGAATGTTTAATGGTAGATTTTAACAGTGACCTTTGCTTCTGCAAATATAGAAAGAAAATGACAAAAACTAGAAGGGTACAATAAACTGTACATTCAGGTTGAGAGAGAGCTTGATTTAAGGGCTCAGAGCATTGGTTTACTGCAGATAAAGATAAGCAATTTGTGGGATTCTTAAATTCTAGTCTCCTTTGGTGGTTGAAGACATTTTAAGAGATAACTGTGTTTGCAGTTGTCTAGGTACTTCTGAAAGTTAGTCCCTCAGGCCAAATTCTTTTGTTCTTTTCTGATACTGAGGCTGGCTAGAGGCCATCACAGCTTTATTTAAAACATTGGCTTGAGAAGCTCCCAGGAGAGATCGTTCCACCCACTCACCCACATGCCTGAGTTCATGTGCTGGTTAGAGACCACAGAGTTCCCCTGGGGATGGTGGAGTCCCTGCCTGGCTTTTAAGGCAGGTCTCCTTGTGGCAGAAGTGATATTCCTTCTTAAGTAGCTCTCTAGGAATACCGGAAAGGAATGTCTGAGCCTCTTCTCAGGCAACCAGAGCATAATTTCATGAAATCATTGTCCAGGTATATTTGGACTGTTGATTTGCAAGGAGTATTTGTCCCTCGTTATGCAAGTGCTTTCTTAAAACTCCTAAAATCCTTTCCTTACCTAGCTGTCCTGTGTGTTGCTTGCTCATCTCTCCCACAGCAGTGCAGGTGACAAGGTGTGACATCCCGAGCAGCAGCAGAATATTGACCTGGGCCCTCAGCGTCCAAAGCAGAGGCACAAATTTGGCTTTCTCCGTTAGAGCATTCAGAGAATTTACTTCACAAGGGCCAGATTTCTCCCTACCTTTTTTACCATCAAATATGATTGATTTCTTAACTCATAAAGCAAATTATTTCAGCCAAATAAGTATATTGCACATGGGAAATAAAACAAGAATATCTCAGTTAACTGTCATCATCTATCTTTATGCATAACTTTACTTGGGGAGCATTGGTTGCAGCTGTTATTTGATATTACTCCATACCTGGAACTCTCACAAAACACATATTTGCCTTGAGGGAAAAAACAAGAAAATTCCCTGACCAGAGCTTACCTTTTCCACCAATAGGACCAATTTTCCCAAGCATTCCCTGGTCACCAATATCTCCCACAGGTCCTTTGTTTCCTGAGAGAAGAAATAAGAGGAAAAAAGTGTGGATGGTTTCTGTCATTTCTCTCCCAAGGCGCTATTTAGGTCTCTACTGCTGCTCTTTTTCCTGAGCGTGGCCAGTCCATAGTGTGGCAAAGCCAAAATGAGTGGAGCCCTGAAGATGGCTGGAGGACAGCACAGATCTCTGCTGCTGTAGGGTACAACAGTGGGACGTTGCAAGGCTCCTTAGTAGAACTTCCTGTTCAAATGCCCAGAAACATCATGGGCATAAAAACTTTTTTATTTTACAGAAAATGCAAACTAAAACTGCTAGTGAGTATTCAAATATTGTTTTTACTTCACGGCCAAGCTAGGCTGACAGCAGGTTTTATTTTTTCTTGGGTTTGTTTTTTTTTTAATTCACCCCAGACAAAAGCCTTTCCTTCTTTCTTGAGGTAAAGTCCTTGTGGCTTTGCTGGGAATCCTTCTCAAAGCAGGACTGCAAATAGGGAGCTACTAGTTTTGCTGTCTGTGCTTTCCCAGTCCTCTGAGCACCAAAATAATGGATGCCTTTTTAATTGATTAATAGTGTGTCTGAAATAGCTGGCTAATGATGACAGCCCAATTTAGGGAGTCTCAGTGTGCACACTAACATCATTAAGATGCTTCCTAAAGGGTTGGTTACCTGATTCCCTTTTATCTTATCTGATCTTCTTTTTAATGTAAGAAGCAAAGTCATACAAATGCACTTGAATATGGAATATTTTTTTTATTATTATAACAATAATAACAGGATGACTTTAAAGTCTCTATAAAAGTAAAAATTTTCCTGATCAGTCTTACTGTCAAGGAAGAAAGAACATGGATATGCATTATCATTAAACTCTAACGACAAATTAAGCTTTTGCGTTAGAGTATGCAAACAAGGCTGACATCATCACATCTGGTGCCTCAGAATGCTCTGCCCAGCTCACTGTGTGGATATGGGAAATGTTTAATAGGGCTGAGTCCTGACACCTCTGTGACTCCTTGTTCTCAGCTCAGATGCTGTTTGATCAGAGGAACTTTGTTTCTCAGTGTGTACCTTCATTTGCTTTTCTGCAAAATAGGGACAACTGGCTGAGACAGAATTTTGTTGAGCATCCTGATGTATTAGTAGGAAGTAACTCTCAAAATTCAGTTTCAAATAGAGGATCATTTCAGTAAGAGAACAGTAATCTTTCTGATTATACATATGATCTGGGTAATACATTTGATCTGAGCCTTTTGGATCTCACTTATGACAGCCATTTAGGAGAGCAGCAATAAATATACTAGATTATTACATGACTCTAAGTTTATTGCTATATATACCCGTCTTAAGTATCGGTAGGAATTGCACCAAGCTCTCTGAATATTGTTAGGTTCACTGATTAATGTTTGACAGGATTGTGAAATCTACTGATGCAACAGGAATGAAAAGCATTAAACATCAATGATCATATGCACCAGTAAGGTGGTGTATAATGATATTCACATACCAGTAATAGCCAACAAACGGTCATAAATACCTTTTGGTCCTTTTGGCCCAACCTTCCCTTGTTTGCCCACTTCTCCTCTATCTCCTTTTTCACCTTCATCCCCTTCCAAAAAATAGAAAACAAAGCATCATGGTACATTTCTCTCAGTGCAGTAAGTACAACTATACAACCCCAGAAAATAAAGTTCTCAGGTGTTTTTTCTACTCATTTCTTTTTATTTCACATTGAAGACACAGTAGCCATGGGATACATTTCTAAAGAAGAGCTGAATAATCTGACCATCATTAGGAAAAGCTAAAAACTTTCCCTTTCAGGGAGGCTGTTCCAACATAAGAGTTATAACACCAACTTCTATCCCTGCCCTTTAAGCCCTATTAGCCATACAGCAGATAAATAAGCCAGTCTTCCTCTGTTGGGAAACCTGTACACACATGGGAGAACTGCCAGGGGAGGCAACAGGAATTTATTAATTGTTCCTAATGACTCTGTTCATAGTCACTCTGTGTTCAAGGTATGCATATGCTTTTGGAATGGCAGGAATGTAAATATGTTGAAATAGATCTTAACGTAGACCTTAGCACGTAGTATGGGAGAAGTCTTGCCTTCAGTTTTTGACAGGTGACATTTTTATGTTGATATAACAAAGCATTTTGCAATTACTCCAATGCTTTATTTTGAAGATGTCAAACACAGAGTATCTATAAGAGGTAAATTCATTACATTTGTGAGAGCAGTGCAGAGATTTCTCCAAATGAGAGCAAGACCCTATCACACAGGTTCCTGTATAGTACTGTATAAGTTCTCTTGCTTATAAGAGACGGTAAGAGATAGTCATTGAGTAAAGGAACAAGACAGAAATTAATAGGAAAGAAATGTTATCTCCTTCCTTAGATAACATATCATTTCACTTGACATTATGCAGGAAATTGGAGACACAACTAGACTTGATTTTCTGGTCTTCTTAGTTTTGAGCCAAATCCCAAGAACATCTTTCTTCTTTTTTTTTTTTTCTAGACAAATGCTGGGGGGATGACAACTCCTGTACCAAATGACCAGCACTGAACACAGGAAGCCTTCCAAAGCCTCCCCCCTGCTCCCTACCCTTGTTTGCAATAAGCCTTGCCATGTGGTGGGAAGCAGCTCCGCAATCTCTTGGCCAAGCCAGGATCTCACATGTGAGAGGCAGCCAGCTGTGTCTGTGCCTGCAGCCCAGAAAGACAGAAGAGGCTGCAGTTCAGTATATGGAGACCCAAGGAAGGGAAATCTGTCTGGATGTCAGCAAAAGAGAAGTGAGGACAGAAGGACAGCATTACATGACAAGACCAATAATCTGTCTCCCTGAAGATGGTGCCTCCAGCCCTGGCAGAAGGTGTTCAGGGAAGCGGTGCTGAGGGTGACTATGACCCATGCAGCCACTTCCAGCCTCTCACATGTGGTCATTTATGGGCTTGTCTGAGCCTAGCACTGCATCGAGACCACTAGTGGACAGCCACTAGTGATTCTTGTGCCTTTTAAATGCCTTTATATTTTTGTCCCTATGGTATTGGTATTGTCTGGCAAAGAGGTCAATGATGTACCGACGGAGACAGTAGCTTCTCACGTGTCCTGGTTTGAGGGCGCAAACCACACCATGGTTGCTTTCAGACCGATCATTTCATTGTATCTCATTCTTATTTTCTGAAAAATAGTGCCCACTCATTCCTCATTTACCTTCTCCTACTTCTGTAGCCACAGGTAGCATATCATGGGCTGTTCTGTGGGGTGATGACAGATGAGAAGTGGTGCATATTACTTGCAGCATGTAAAATGTAGTATTAGCTGTTTGTCTCCTTTCCAAGTCAGTTATGGAGACTGAGCTGAGCCTGTCCCTGTGTGCCAAAACACCATTCAGTGTTGGGACTCTCTTGTGGAGGACAGACTTATGGTGTCAGTCATGATACCCTTTGCGGGGGATTGTCAGTGGTCCACGCTGAGGAGATAAAGGACTGAACTTCAGTCTGCATTAGAGGGAGGAAGCATTTGCTAAAGGGATGGACAAGGAGGAAACAACACGGGGTGTGTGTGCTGGTTCAGGCGCTTTGTTTGTTTTTAACACCAGATGATACAGGACAAAGGAGGAAGGGAAAAGGCTATAAGCAGTCAGCAATAAAAGTTTTAAACATCTCTATTATTACTGGTTCTTGAAAGACCTGGAAGGGTCAGTATATATTTCCAAAAGCCAAGCTCCTTAACTCTGCAGCTGAAGCTGTGTGTCTGAGCCTGGAGCTGATGGAAGGATGCCTGCTTTTACTGGGTTCTTGTCTACAGATCATCAAAACAGCAGAGCCAGAGAACACAGGGTTTAATTTTGCTGTTGACCTCAGTGCTAACAACATTTACAACTGAGAAACCAAGAAATTGTCCTTTCCAAACCTATCTATGAAACCCTTGAGAAAAGTGTAAAAGTCACTTCTTAGTACTTCAGAAATTCAGAAAATATTCCCAGAGGCTGACAAAGGGCTTGTGAAATGAAATTCCAGGAGAAGGTTAAGAGCTGATCTGGCCACGGTCTGAAAACCCGTACAGGGGGAGAAATGTGTGATAATAGAAAGGAAGCAGGGTGTGATGCAAAAGCTGGAAAAGCTGGGTGAGTCCTGACTAGAAATGCAACATGGGGATATTTAACAAATATACCCACTGCTCTCCAGCAGCGAAGGGAGATGTAGGAGGCTTTTCATGTCCAGCCTTTCCCAGTGCAATGAATTCCTTTCTGTAAGACAAGCTGTAACTCTGGGTCTGGTGCAGAAATTGCTGAGGGAGTTTCTTTGGCACGTGTCATGCAGGAGAGCAAATAAGATTCCTGCTGACCTTCCAAAGCAGGGCTTGTCACCCCAGCTGCTCTCACCACCAGCTAATTACATTCTCTGTGGCTTGCAGGCTGCTCTGTTGGGTTAAAGGCTCTAGAGAGGCTGTTTGCTGCAGAAGGAAGACCTCTGTGCAAGAAAGATGCTTTTTTTGGTGGGGTAAGAAACATTGCTTAGAAAGTTAATCTTAGATATAGAGCCAACGCAAGAAAGTCAATATATGAGTGGAGAAGCTGTGATTACTTTCAAATTTGTTTTCTTCCAGTCTTATTTTCAACATTTTGAGCCAGAGAAAGCTGCAGTGTCTTTTTCTGAGAGGCTTTAGAGCAAGCTTTTCACGCAAGGGCTGCTGGAGATGAAGCTAGGGGTTGTGCTTTATGGGCCATCAGACTAAGAGGTGACAGATGAAAGGGGTAGAAGGCATGGGAAAATTTGTTCTGGAGATTTTGAGAGATTAGGGAGTGCTTCAACTTTTATTGCTAACACCTTATGTAGTCCCAATTTTTGCTCAAGCCCTCTAAAAGCCTAAGGGAGAGGGAAGTAAGATCTATCACCTGTTTCATCTTGGTGTAAAGCAACCTACCACACTCTACCTTAGTTTCCTTACTTAGGAAAATGAGAAGAATAATAATTTGCCTATTGGTAAGGGAGGGAAATCCTGCTTTTCTCCCCATATTGCAGCTGAGAATGGGTAGGCCATTACAAAGCAAGGGTAGGAGCAAACGGTATTCATTAGCAATATCACTTCATTGTTAATTTAAGACTGGATTAAGCCCAGTGCTTGATAATATGGTGGTGTCATTATAAAAGAATTGTGTCCAATTTAGCAGTTGTGTGTGATCTCAATTTTTTTGTCGAGAAACGTGAACTCTTGGGTTATGCTCCCCCCTTGTGGTCTCGTTATGATTTGCAACGAAGTAGGAGCAATTGTAAGAGCTTGGTTGATTTTGTTTTGGGCAGGGGTTGAGTTGGCTTCGTCTCTAATTTATAGTAAGTGTCTCTGCCTTTCCTCTGGAACTTCATGTGGACAGGCCATCCTGCTGTAATCCAAAAAGCCAAAAAAAATTAATCTAAATCCTGCCAGTACTCTGGACCGGGTTTTTTCAATTTTGTACTTTCAATATTGTGCTTTGTGCAATTTAAGTTTTCTTGCAGAAAAAAAACCCACCACTGATCCCTGACCTCATGTGCTTGTAGTCTATACCTAGAGGTTAACCTTTCCTTTGTCCAGCTTCACACTTGGGACAGAGTCAGGTTGAGTTTTAACCTAAGTAGCAGATTGTCACCTTAAAGCTGTGATTGCAAGGATGTCAGACAATGTACTGCACTGGAATTTAAAGCATGGGTGAAGCACTTGGAGCCAGTAGCTGAAGCAAGACCATTTCTCAACCTTGCTAGCATTCCCTCAAGCTGATTCACTTCTTTTATATCACAGATTTAAAATACTAGACTATTAAAATAAACACATGGAACAATAAATTACTAGGCTCTTCCAGCTTGGGACCGTGTGAGACAGAAGGAAAGCAGAAGCCATACACAGTAAATGACTTTTGGAGCCATTAGACAATTTTAATTGTAATTGAGAGGGAACCCTAGTCCTTCTTTCTCTTATAAACAAGCTGAGGAAAATGCTGAAGGTCTAATAATCAGCAGGATTTTTACGCAGTTGAAAGGGGCTCTGCCTTTTTAGGAGTTTCACTAAATAACACAATGTTGAGAGGTTACATTTGGTAAGAATTTAATTAGTAAGAATTTACTGACCTTCAAGTGACTTCGAATTCCCTGCTGAATCTTTTGTAGGTATTTTATCTAGTTTGCATTCATTAATAGAGGAAATTTCCAGGTTAAATTGTTCGCATATGTTTAGTGACTCTCCAAGTCTTATGATCAAGGGCTGACTCTGGTTCTTGGAGAATCAGGGGGTAATTTGGGGGATTATGGAGTCCACCCTTACCTCCAGAGGCAGCCCTGCATCAGGGTGAGAGCACGTCTGCAGGCTGCCTAAAGGCTAAAGCTGGGAGGTGATTCCTAGCTGGGCTTATGCCTGTGTTTCTCTGTGGTCATGCAGCCTTTTCACTTGGCATTCTGCTGAGGGACTCCCTGCGTCCACACTGGGTTTTACTGAGACACTTGCCAGGTCTGATGGCAAATCATGGACTGAAGTCAGCTCCAGTTTCTGTCTCCTGACCAAAAATACCGCAGAAATGTTAATGCTCTCTCAGCCTCTCTTCTGCAGGTATACCTTCCTTCACACTCCAC